GCTGTTGCGCACACAGCAGAAGTTGACGAATGTAAGCAAACGACTCGAATCCAGGGGCAGAGGACGACGCGGAGTACTGCACGGCGTACTTACAAGACCGATGGGCTGACTGCGAGTGTGTGGATGCCTGTGTACACACCCAGGCCAAGCGCCGTTGCAAGGCAAGCCGCCAACGGCGCAACCTGCAAACAAGACCCCATCCCAATCAGTCCGTGGTGATGCTCCAGGTCGGGACAGAACCTGCCCGGAGGGTCTCTGCCATTGCCAGGGCTTACGTCTGGGGTCAGCCATATCTTGGTCCAGGCCTGGCGCAGCATGTTGTCTCTGCAGGAGGGCTCGTCCGGAACGGAAAGCCAACTCTGCTGTGGGCCCAGCAGCAGGGGTCACTGATATAGAATTCCCGCGCCGGTGTGACGTCTGCACCGTGACTCTGGGTTCAGCGCCCCTTCAAACCGGTAGGGTGCACTGAGCCAATGGATTCCTCACAAAGGAATCTCAGGAACGTTCCAGATCTACAACGTGCTGTAGGCCGGACTCGTGCCGCGCACTGCATCATTACGTGTTGTAACAGCGCGTTGGGGCGTTGGGTGTGGCCCCTTGTCGTGGTTACGTAACTGGCGACCTACTGCCCGACGCGATGCCAACCATTCGAGATTGACAATTCATGGCATTGTTCTGGTGAATGTGTGCGGCGCTGCGTACTCTTACAATGACGACCATCCAACGAGCATTAGGTTCACGAGGCCACAGTTCTCGCTGGGGTGTGGCGCTGCAGAACAATTTCAGTGCCTGACATTGCAACAGTGCGCTGTTTGAAACCAGGTTGGTGCAGGTTGTGTTTTCGAAAAGATTTGAATTCGAGCAGGTGCCAAGCCTCCGCGATAATCAACGCTCTGCTCATCTTTTTTTATGAAGTGGCGGTGTCTGGCGCCCTTTGCATCGGCAATGGTACTTGTGACAACCCAGTGCCAAAAAGGGGGTGGGGTAGATGGGAGGCGGGGTGGGGGTGCTGGTGGCAGAACCTTGACTTCCGTCAGAGTTTTGGAGCAGGCGTCGCACCTTTGCACACTGCAACTGCACAAAACGGTCGCGATGAAGGGAACACCGATCAGCAGTGTAGCAACCAAGACATAGCACACAATCTGTGCGACACTTGCAACAGACAGTGGTCTAGAGCAAGGGCCTCCTTAGTGAAGACACTGTTTTGAATTTTGTACGCTTTGCGTCAATGTGACGTTAAGCAACCCCCCACACACCCACACACACCCGTACAGCACACAACAACACAACGCGCAACACACAATACGTTGTTATGAAACAAGCACCTTTAGGGCATGTGGACGAAGTCGCTTGGGCTATTTTCAGTAATGCCCAAAATGTCCAATTTTACATGGCCCGTATAGCTATTTCACAAGTCGACATCTTTGGATCCCATCACGAGTCCAAGCACATCAAGACATTCTCCAACTGCTGAACCAGGAATCTTCCCCCTTTTGTTTGCAATACAGTCTTTCTGGCATTTCATTTCATTGTAGCTGTTTCACCTTGGCCACCCCCGGGGTTGTGTGACAGGCCCACCATGCCATACCACCTGCCAGGGATGCCGGGAGTAAGTGTCGTCAGACCTGTTATTTGCGTTAGGCACCCAGGACAGTACCAAGACCCAGAGAGTTCTGGCAGCCGTTCTGCTTTGCAGTTTGGGTTCATTGGATGACAGGCTGCGTTTGAGCATTGGCCAATCTATGGACTCTTGACACGAGTATCAAAACAAGCCGAGATCTGCGTTGTGGTAGGCGCCTTGGCGGGCTTTTATCAGTCGGCAGGTAGCCTCTCTGCTTAAGGAGTGCCCAAAGCCCGCCACCTATCTTGTGTAGCTCCCACCCTCCCTGGAAGTGTGGGTGGGGACTTCATTATTATATGAAGTACCAATTACCATGGTTTACCCCTTTGGCTTGTATGGCAAAGGGGCATTGGTGACAATGCTCTTCAACCCTTGGCCAATGTGTATGTCGGACAGGGAGAGAATCCCGTAATACAGAAGGAAAATGAACAACAGCCATCCCACTGTATAACATTCCTAAGGGCACAATTCACATCTACCGCAAACACACAGAAAAACTCCAAGCTCAACCTGTCCAATTGTCCATGGAGTTAGCGCCTGCGACTTGACTTCGCACGGCGAAAGACAACCATCCCCACGGCGATACAATGCGCCGTTTCCGCTGTTCAATGTCGAAGAAGTTGCAGAAGAAAGTATGGACCGAAAGGGAGCTGTCCTCAAGCAATCACAAGGGGCCTCTTCTCCCATCCGTATTCCGCCTTGTTGTCCTCGTACACCCGTTGCAGCTCCTTCTTGAATTTTTCGTGAAGCTCGCTCACCTTTTCTTCGAAATCAGGACTGTCCCATGCGACCTTCTCCACTTTCACAGGCCTCCCCACGACCATGTAGATAGGAACTTCGCGAGGCAGAGGGAGGCCCCACCTGTGGAAGTGGCAACAACACCATGTGAACTCATGTTAAGGACGTGCTGGAGCTTCTGGGCGGATCTTGTCATCTGCTGCTACTCGTGGGGCTGTCTCGCGATCATCGTGCAAAGACCTAGGCTTGCTTCACTTCCGTGGAGATTCTACACATGGGGACTGAACTCCACGGTTCAATGATTCCTACTATTACAAAGATCGATGAATGGACCACCGCAGTTATTTTCTTACCTAACCATACACACATAAAGGGTCCACATTGTGTCGAAAGGTTGCGAAATTTCAGAAAGACGGTGACCAATCAGTGCTGCATCTTACTTCTGCAGAATCGCTGCAGGAAGCATATGGGAATCCCCGCCTTGAGGAACGAGAAAGGCTGTGAGTTTTAGGTTGCACTGACCTCATAATTCTGATATCTCGCTCACAGGCATCAACCATAGCGTCCACATTCAGGTCAACACTGGAAGCTTGAATGTCAACACAAATAGATACTTCTGCAATGGATATGGCCACATGTGTTTCAGAATGAGCAATTGCAGGCATCAGCCTTCCCTCAGCTTGGGTACTCACGATTGCATCACGCGTCAAGGCCATACACTTGTCACTTGCCACTCTGACGGAAATGAAGATAACGTTGTGGAATTGCGCTGTGCATCATCGAAGATCCTGACATTCGGCGAAATTGCACACTGGGAAATTTGGGGAACTGCAGTTGAGATGTATCGTCCCAACACATGCATCATGGCTGTTTTAGAAAGGGCTTTATCACGATTTGCAGCCCCACTATGCAGACAATTCTATTCCTCACATCTCATCACATTATTGACTGTGTCAATACTTAATCCAGCACGACTTTTATGGCTGTCCAAATGCGCTTCAACCAACCTGCCAACAAGGACGCCCACACTCATGCGGAGTTTTCGGCATAGGGTCATGAGGGAACGTGGACCAATGCTCAGCACTCGACTGTTGCCAAAATGGTACACTGGCAGCAGGTCTACACCGTTGGCCAGGGCAATCTTGATGAAGCCTTTCCTCGAAGCAAGGAGAACCTGCCGATATTATGCACACCATCCATTCATGATGATGTCCGGTGTTTCCCCTCGAGGGTCGTGTACGGACCCACATACTACATCTCAAACAGCCACCAAACCATTGAAATAAAAGCAACGTATATTGCCATAAAAATTCTACCAAGCAGCATTAACTGTTCATGACAACTCTGTTCAAGGCGTAAGAATGTTGGCACAAGAACCGTTCGTGCTTCATGTGTTGGATAGGACAAAGCCCCCAAACAGGCAACAACAGCCCTGTAACAACTTGCAACGACTTGCGGAAACCAGATTAAACCTGAGCTAGAGCAGGGACAGCAGCAATGGCCATAAACCATCGTTGGATCGACCCCTTTTTGTCTTTCGTTTGTATGCTGGGAAGAGTTGCACAATACATATAGTAAGGTCATGTTGTGCACTCTGTTGGCAGGGAGCACCAATAAAACAATGCTTCCCAGGGATACACCAAAGGAGGAAGCGGTTATCAAGCGACACCAAAATGTTTGATGCGCCGACCTCTGAAATGCGCTGGACAGATCTATGCAACTGCCCATGACACGTTTCACTTTGCGTTCGTTTGCATTGGCTTTGTGTTCACAACAGTGGAACCACTTGGAACTTTGAGAGCAGCAGTCTGCTGGGCATTGGAGCATAGAAATTGTCCCAAGGATACATGTCTGGTGCCACAACACAGGGATTCGATGTAGCGGGTGAGGCGGCCGGCCATGAATGCACCAACACCTGAATCAGGTCCAATTGCATTCCTGGCGCATGTGACGGCAATTCTGCTGAGAGGTTGGCAACACAGGGAACAACAAAGATGACAACAGAGGTGGAGGTTTGTCACAGTGCAAACAGGGTTGTCCTCAAACAAATTCTGAGCAAGTGGCAGAGACAGTTGGCTGTGAAACAAACAAAAAAACGATCCCGGGGCCTTCATCACTGTCCAGGGCAAGTAATCAAAAGGAGAAGTCGTAGGCTGGGTTGGGAGGCTGGACTTCAGGCGTACAACAAGAAGCAATATGGTCCTGGAAATGACGACTTTTCCTGCCAACACTAGAAATGCGATGTAAACTGTAACTTGGGAATCGGGATGCCTTTGTGCTGCATGCCACACAGACCCTTCTCCTGTCCCTGCAACCCCTCCAGATGCGATACTGAGTGAAAAGAACTGGGCGATGCTGATTGAGCAATATTCTGTGAACTAGAGCCTCAGAGTGGAATGATGAACTGGAAAACACCAAGGGTCACACAGAATATGATACATTGCACACTGCATGATGAAATCGGACACAATTTGTCGGTGAATAAAGAGTTTAGATTTGCCGTAAGTCTCGTTCGCCAGTCACTGGTAGTTGGTATTCTGCCCAGCCCCTAACTTATTGAGGGTCAGAACATGGGTGCATATCAAAAGCCCAACAGCCAACTGTGTCTGATGAATAAACTGACTGCAATTCCCTCGCAGGTTCAATGGGGCTGCCAACGAAAGTGATGTGGAGGTTCATAATCTTTCTGCAGCCTTCGCACCTGTTCTTTTTCTTCATACTGCATGAACATCTCACCAACGCCTGTCCGTCACCACACAACATCATGGGTACAGATCAGAACCAATCGGAATGGAGTGCAATCTGCAAACTAAGAATGATGCTTGATGCTGTTGAGCACAGAGCTGTGAAGGGCCTTCCTACCTCCTACAACGCAAGCAACATCCGCCTTCTGCAGCAGCCTCTGAAAAGTCTTGCGATCTGCTGGTTGGCACCCCATCCAAGAGAACATTTGTTTGTAAAGGGGAATTTTGAACAGGACAGATGCCCCAACACTGTGAACACACCGACCAGGAAACAATCTGGGTATCAACGTGCCAGCCAGGAGTGGTCCGACTGGGTACGTCCCATGGGGGAACTCTGCAATGATGTATTTTCCATCAATGTCCAGCTTCTGCACAAACAAAACAGCTCCCTCAGCCAAGTTTCTTCTGGTGACGTTGCAGATAGGTTGAGACTTTGTGTATTCATTGAACAGCCCGAATGCCTCAATTTTAGCATTTCATGGCCCGCAAGACGTGAAAGCAAGCCATGCACACACAAGGACAGCAGAGAAGGTTCTTGGGGTTCAGTGACAAAGTGGTTGCCAATAATGGTGGGATTGGGAGGCAATGAGGAGTTGGCAACTTTGGCCACAAATGGAGAGCAGAACTCGCAAGACATTTAAGTTGTCCAAGGAAGGTATGAAGCAATCAAAGCTGCAACCAGGCTGATCCACTCCCAAAAAATGGAAAGAATGGACAAAATAGCCAGTGCACGCCCAGCGCACGTTCAGTTCAAGCTCTCTGGCCCTGGCTTGTCTTTACCTCCTCAAACTTGTAGGAAAAGCTGAAATATTCTCGCCATGTGTGGAACACGCTCAGATTCAAAAATTCGGGCCAGAAGACCTTCGTCGGAATAAGAACAGTAGAAAAGAGGGCAAGGTTCAGGAGGAGAACTGGGCGCCACCACGAGAAGAGTAGGAGGAGCAGGAGGATGTAGGGCCAAGCGGTATACACAAAGAGAGTCGTCATTGCCACAAACAGGCGGTGGGGCTTCATTTTTCCCTTCTCCGTTCTCTTTTCCGCGTACACGCGCTGCCCCACGGGCAACTTCCCGTTTTCTGGAATCATGTCCACAGCCATCTCCTTCGCAGCCAAGTTTCCGCACTGTTGGGTGGCAGTGCGCTGGTAACCCAACAGCTTGGAATGGTTTCGACGCCAACGACACGCCCGGTGTCAACAGGCGGCGACCGGCGTCTGGAACCTGTAGCAAGCAGACGCAGTCTGTGTTCAGGATCTGGGGCCATGTGCAATCGGCCGGGAACATGGGCATGGCACTGAGATGCCCGTTCCCAGTCGCGAAGGAGTATTCGTGATCGCTAGTTTGGGCAAGAGAGCATTGCCGCCTGCTTCACGGCGCAGACGCCTGATAATCCCGTGGCGACTTGAGACTTTCAGAGAGAAGGGATGCATGCCAAGATACGAAGATTCAATGGGAGGGGAATGGAGGCAGCTACACGAGGCCACAGAGGCACTGTCACCCAAGGAGGCACCCTGCGGGCAAAGAAGCGCCGCTCCAGCGACTGCAATGGGCGGCGCCCCTCCACATCCACGCAGCTCTCACCCTAGATCTCTCATATGCTGGCCACGCTCGCTCCCGCAAACCGGTCGCTTGGGCTGCGCCGCTCAACAAGTCACACGGCAACGTTGAGGACCCACGCGGCCTCACTGTTATCCCCTGGCCCTGGGGCGTGGCGACGTTTGTTGTGTGGTATTCTCCAAGGGTGTCCCTAAGAGGCCGCATCAACTCTCTCACCCTCTTGCTAGCCGTCGTTTCAACACGCGTCTGGTGGTCCCCGCGGCTCGAGGTAGAGGCCGGTCGAGCGGTGGCGGATGTTCCACACGCGCCTCCAGAGCGCAGTACAGGTTCTGGGGTGGGTGGGCAGACATTCTCGCCGCCACGAAAGGGACGGGAATCTGCAGGTGAATGATACAAGAGCCCTGATTTCATACCTATCCTTGTTAACGAACGACGAAGGCATTTCAAGTCATCGAGTTGGGGACGTTGAGGGCCTGGGGAGGAATCGATCGATCAAAATCAAGCAATCAGTCAAGCGCAACATAAGAACTAAAATGCAGTGAAGGCCATGAGCGCCAGATGGCTACAGCAAAGTAACCACCAAGCAACTGTTTGATGTGCAAATTTGATCAGAGCTGGGTGTGGGCGTAAACGCACCGTCCAAGTTCAAGGGATGTGTCGCTCAGTTTGCATCTATGCTGTGGACTTTCGTAAACAAAAAGTGCCTGTGTTCTACAAAGCGAAGGCCAACGTTCTGGTACACAAGCAACGCTTAGTCTGACATGACGGTAGTTAAGTTTCTGGCGTTGTATTACAAAAACTGAAATCGAAGCGCTGGAATCAGCAATGAGCGAGTAAAACTGCTCCCTGTTCGTGACAGCTCAAAGGCATGCAACACAATTTGGATACCGCGATGACAACCTTGGTTCACCGCGATTGCTCATGGCGCTTCGGATATGCTTCGTCTGGCAAGGATTCAGAATGCAACTTGTCTTACAAACCAAACAGAGACAAACCTCTGAAAAACTCAAACTCTCCACAAACCTTGGATTGCACTGGTTTGAGAACCAATTCCCTCCACGAGGTTCATTACGAAATAACCTACCGCACGAATGCATTAAGTGCAAAACTGCTTCTAGCCATGTTCCAACTCACGACATCCTGGTACGATCACGGGGTCAAAATCACCAGTGCGAACTCATGACCGCCTGTCTCTTGCTTGAAGAAATGCCCAATGTACTGGAAGCCAAGCTGGACAAAACATACCCACGCCCAGAACCATTTCAAGAGCACATTTCAAGTCTTTAAAAATCAGACATCCACACATCAAACATGCTTCTCATCATTTCCTTGTTATCATAAAATCTAGTCAAGCAGCTACAACGTTGTAGCTGTGTTAACACGTCCCGGAGACAACTCTTTCTTTTTCTTGTCCAAAATATTACAAACAGTTCAGTGTCCAGGTGCCGCCTCGGTCTTAACACAAGAATTGCAAGCCTTGCGCCACCCAGCAAGAGATTGCAAAGGGATCTAAGATCCAAAGGGTATTCGCATCTAAGTGATGAATCAGTCTCAAAGAAGAGAAGTTCGGCACTCAGGGGGCCCCTGGCAGATCATTAGAACAAAACAAACGGACAGATTCGAGTTGCTTTCATTAATGACGCTGTCGTCTTTCTGTGCTTCAAAAATCATCAGGAAATCCTGTGATTCAATCCGGTGTGCACACCTCCTAGCAAATCGAGCATGAAGTCCAAATATGCAGTCAGCTGGGAGAAGAAAAATTGCACAGGACATGTTCATAAAACCGTCCATATTGCAGTCAGATCAGCTCGCATTGTTCCAACGTTCCATCGCAACAGTCAAACCTCCAAACCCTGGTCCGATATTTCAAGGGTATACAATCAGACCCTGATTTCACCAGTTCTGAGTCCATGGTGCCCCGCAACGTGGAAAGATCAAACAATTGAGTCAGGAGCACAAAGCAATTCATCTTGAGACCTTGACAAATCCACCAAAATCCGCACCGAGTGAGTCGCATTCTTGCATGTGACTTGGTGACTAGAGTCACCAAGTTTGGATTGACATGAAGTTGAAAAGCCACGGGATTCCTTCTGATGGCCGGTAGCACCATTCTGGGAAGTACCGGTAACCAGATCGGTTTCGTGGCAGCCGTTCTCCTCTGGAATTTGGACACATTGATCTACACCAGCCGGATTTGAACGTGGACTAAAGGATCTCTGGACTCCTGTCAAAAGCTTTAACGAAGCCAAGGTTTGGGTTGTGATGGGCGCCTTGGCGGGCTGTGCTTAGACGGCGGGCAGCCTCACTTCTGAATGGGGGGCAAAGACCGCCACCTGTCTTGTTTTGCTCTCAAATCCAATCCCTAGAAGCGTGAGCTTGAGTATAAGGATATCGTAAAGTATGGAGGTTCAAAAACAATATTCCTTTGGTTTGTATCGCGAAGCTGAGAGCATCTGTGTTGACACTCACCTGCACTTGCACAGAATCTACACTGGTGAAATGCACTCCAATTCACGTGGCCGGTGTGCGTGTCTGCCGGGAGAGGATCCCGCCGAGGAGAAACAGTGCGCTGCGCCCTCTCAGACCCCACGCGAGGGTCCACGACAGCGCTCGCCATTGGCGAAAGCCGCTGCAAACAAAAATCGCTCCGACTTGTCACCACCGGCCAAGCCGAGGCGGCAAAAAGCGCCACTAGCCGGTTCCTGTCAACCCAGCGCACTGACGAAAATCCGCACCAAAACTTTAACCCGCGCCGGGCGCCCCTGATGACGCGAATCCGGCACCGCCGGCGTGGCGCTCCGCGACAGCCAGCGCCGCGAGCAGGCCGTCGGCCCGCCTTGCCGCCCATCCGTCGCGGGGCGGGCCCCGTCGCCGAAGCCGACGACCGCGCGACATCCCGGCAGCCGGGTGCGGCCATCGCAATCCGGAGCGGCGCGCCCCCCGGCGGCGAGGGCGGCCCAGCGCGGAGGGCGAGCGAGGGGCGCGATCGCGCACCGATGGACACCCCGCCCTGCGATCCGGGAGGAAGACCCGTTGCCTGCCGCACTGCCGTGGATGCAGACCTGGCGCCCGCGGGCAGCCCCACGTACGCCCCGCCGCTGGTGGTGTCGCCCAACGACAGCTTCGGGTCCCCCGGGCAGGGCGCGAGCGAGGATGAACTGGGGCGGTTGCTTAACCCGGCAGCGGGGCGGCCGGTGGGAAAGCTGGTGCCCGCGCGGGTGGCCAGGGAACTGGAGGGCGTGGCGCAATCGGGGGGCAACGGGTCCGGCAAGCACAAGCACAGGTCGGGCAAGGGCGGAAAGAGCGGGGAGTCCAGGAGGCTGGGTGGGCGGGCGTCCAACTCGGAGCGGGGGCCGGGCGGCGGCTGCCTGCTGGAGCGGCAATTTCGCGGCCGCGGCCACCGCAAACTCTACGAGTGGCTGGAGCGGTCGCGGACGTGCCCCGTTTGCCTGAAGCCCATGAAGTTCGAGGAGCAGTCGTGATGGCGCCCCGGGGGCCGCTGGGGCCGCTTGCGGGACCCCCGCCGCTGGCGCACCCCTCCCCCCCCGCGCCATGGGCGGGGGCGGACAGCGCCCTGTAGCTGCCGTTGTCGCGACGGGCGCACGGCACCCTGTGCGTTTGGTGGCCATGGATGCCTGCGGCCCTTGGCGATGGGAAACTACCCGGGGCAAGCATCGAAGGAAACCGGCGCTGTCGCTCGGCCGCAGGCTTCGGCACGACGGGGACTTGGACGAATTGTTGACGGCCACCGGCCGGGCGGCCGAGGGGCCATGCGATCCGATCGGACGAGAGATAAACCCCCCCGCAGCTGTGCGAGCTGGAACCGGGCGTGGAGAGGACGGTGGTGGCGAATGGGCTCGTTGCTGTCTGCCTCCGAAGCGAGCTGCGTGTATATGTACCACCAGAGTGTATCAGTAAGAAACGGATGAACTGGACTTCCGGGGCTCGCGCTCGGCCTGAACTGGAGCCTCACGTCTGGAACTGATCCCTTGTGAGAGGACATTTTTTGCATTCAAGTGTCACGGTTTTGGGTGGGTTGGGGAGTGGGGGGTTGGGGAGTGGGGGGGTGGGGGTGGGGCCGGTATTGGGATTGGCTGCGTGCCAGTGCGGATGGCACATTTGGGGGGACCTTTGGACGACTTCTTAACTGCCTGCACAGGTAGGGGCATCTTTGGGGCCAGATGTGCGGGTTGGAGCGAGCAACTCTTTGGATCGGACAAGCTTGTGCATTCACCAGCTGGCGCGTGTCCTGGATAGCTGCCCATTCGCTTTGGAAGTTTTCCCACCCTGCAGCAGGTGCCTGTTGTCTGGGTCGAACCGTCAAGCATGAGTACACTTTTGGGAATGAAATGACGCTGGTCAGATCGAAACGCCACATGCCTCACCGTCTTCAGCCTAGAGTGTTGGGTGCTGGACTGTGACCTCCTGGTGGCCGCTGGTTGCCTTCGCTCATGGCAATTGTGTTTTGACAGTTAGTGCCATCAGCATCATGCACATGAATGTCTTGCCACATGGAAAGAGTGTCTGCAGCTGCATGTAGTTGAATGAGTTGCTTTCTAGGATGCATCTTGTGTTGCATCAGGATGTCAGGGTGCCCTTACAAATTGTGCCACCCAGCAATGCTGGGTATGCTTCACTGTGCTTTGTGGAAACATGTAGTGCTGGTATCGCTCGTAATTGTCAGAGCTGAGTACTGTGGATGGAGCAGAGGTGTGGGAAGAACTGCTGGGAACATGCTTGACCGTCATGTCTCTGTGGTTCATTTCCTCCAGGGATGGGTGTAAGGGGATGACCTTGCTGTTGTTCACTTTCTAGGATTGTGAGTGCACTGCTTTTGGTCCATTGTTTATTTGCTGGAGGTCGCTGTCTCTGCTGGGCTGCCCATCTGCTGGGACCAGCAATTTCTGCTGATGGCTCTTTGTCCCAGTTTTGACACTGCAGAGCTGGATTTCACTGCCATGTGTCAGCACATGTGGAAGCAAACTGCTCTGACATGTCCCAGCTGTTGAAATTGAACACTGTAAGGAAAAGCGGCCAATGGTGCAGTGTGGCTGCACCAAGGTGCTGCAGACCAATCGTACAGCATTTGCAGTTTCACAAACCTGAGGCAAGTATCGTTTCCCTCGTCACACCAACTTGGATCACCCCCAGATGATCCGGCCTGACTGCAAGAATTGGCCTTGTGCAAGGTCCTTGCTGACTTGCCGTTTGCTTCGGTAAATAATTGCGGTTTTGGCAAATAGATGCGCCTTCTTTGGTTTTCAACGGCTTGATAACGCCACATCAAGAGTCGATTGGCGCCGCCGTCGGATGGTCGTTCAGTTTCTAAAGATGAGGGTGCTTGTCTTCGCTGCCCGCAATGTCCGACTCACGTGTTTTGGGATCTCCAGGCCTCGGGCTGCTGCTAGCATGAGTATGTCAATCTGCTCCTTCACGACGGCCTAAGGCAGGCAGGCACGAAAGTGAGTCGCTCGAAATAGGGCGAGTCAAAGGGGAACGAAAAGCAGTGATCAGCAAATAGCGTGCTGGAAACAGATCTACCACCAGCGCAGGGGTGTATTGACGCAGGCAGCTGCAAAAGAGTGCAGATTCTTTTGCCTGCAAATGGAACCAACTTTGGTCAGTCAGGGACACAGCGGTGTTGCTCCGTGATGCCTGTCAGCGCCCAGCCGGGCACGGTTCTTCAAGGTTCTTGTGCTGGGCCTGAGGACCATGCGATTGTCAACTCTCCCTGTTGAGTGCCTGCACAGGTGTCAATGCCTAGATGCACTAGATGCCTAGGTGCAGGTGTCAACTGCACACCTCGGGCAGCACAATTTCGGGTGCCCCTCTGTACGTCCTCTCCTCGAGCCTGAATTCAGGATTCGCACACAGCCTGGCGTTGGCAAGGATCCGCCGAGACGCCACTGCCAAAGGCTCGCCTTTCTCGATCGCATGGGAACGGGTCAGATACACGACGTCCCTCTCTGGAGACAGCCGTCGGTTGAGCCACTCCACCATTTCAGTGGGCTTGTTGTCGAGGCTTGCCATCACGGTCAAGTGATCGGTGTCTGCAGTGCAATGGATCGTTGTTTCGTTCAGAAACTGCGTGATGACTGGCGCACCGGAAACAAAAGCGTTTAGTCTCCGAAGGTCTCCATCGCCTAATTGTGGATAGGCGCCATTGTAGAATTTGGGAAGGAAAACCACGCGCGTACCCCAACGAAGCAATCAAATCCCAAGGGCGCTAAGCACCGCGAACGACTCGTTGTCACTCGAACCGTGATGCACTGTTACTCCGGGATTGCCGGCGTTGCTTGAACAGGAGCACGAGTTGCAAGCAATGAGCCATTTCCGCCTGCATTTGCCCCGCATTCGGCCTCTCTTCACAACGTCGGCGACCACGCCAGCTCGTCGACCGCACCTGGCATCCTGAACATCTTTCCGTGACTATCTCCCCTGACCACCAGCATGTTGACGTCGTTGATGTGTTTGAGGGCGTGAATGACGAAGGACCCCATTTTGTCCATGTCATCGGCACACAACACCACCAGGCTCGCGCCCACGGCGGCAATGTACTCCTGCAGCGCCTGGATGCATGGCCTGTCCGGTCCGGTGTACAGGGCCTCACGGATCATCTGCCCATTGAAGTCCATTTCCTTGTCCTTAAACATCTGCAGCACGCTGTCTGTTTTGTCAGACGTCGGGCCCCAGGTTACCACGTGCATCCTGTGAACGGACAGCACACAGGAGGCGCACAACACCGAGTCAGGCAACTGGCCGCTGGGAAGCAGTACATCACATGCAAGATCCGCATGCCTGTGCAGAACGGCGCCTCTCTACAGACAGTGGCGCTTCCTTGCGCGTTGATCGAAACGAGAATTGACAACACGTTTAAACATAGAAGCAACAAGTAGGGACTTGCAATGAAGGCGGTTGGGCTTTCACTGTGTACACAGCAATGGCACCGTCACGCGCAATTCCCAGTGTCATTATGCGTGCACCGTTGCCAAGAAGATCCCGTGCATGGCCGCAGATTCTACCCCAGTGGCACTGTCAAATCCAAACGCACACGGTGGGCAGCCGACACCGCTTGACGCGATGAAGAGCACAGCGGATTCTCTATGGCGCTCCCCGGTCCGGAGCACCGAGAGACACAACAGCAGACTTCGTGGGTACATGAACGGGGGGAATACTGGACACCGGTGACGCACTATCTGCGTTCGTAGTGGTACAGCACTGCAACAAGGTATGTTTGCTTGAGGCGCAGACAGATCGTCCCTCTTGTTGTCGAAAAGCCTTCCCTTTGTCAATCATCCGGAGTATCCCAAACTGCAACCTACACATGTCTGCACTTGATTGCAAACAAGTGCGTCGTCAGTGCTTCCGGCCGGCAGTGCCACGCCGCGACCCTGGGAAAATATCCATATCAAATACACCTGTGTGCACCACGCATGCGCCTTCGTGTCCACACCCGTGTTCAGACACGCCCAACCCACGTCAAAACCCTGGCGAAACGCGTTGTTGCATCCGCGCTGACCTGTCTGCCAGACGCGCCACAAACTTGCTGGCCATTTTCACGGCCATCTTGCTCTGTATCCCGCCGTCCGCGAGAACCACCATCCTCAGGGCGCCCCGCTCCTCCTCGCAGCCCATGGACCTCAGGCGATTGGATCCCTGGCACATGCCAATGGCCAGCAGCCTGAATTGGCGCTGCCTGTCCTGCGCCGCCAGCACGTCCGCGGCGTTGTACAGCCAGTCGCGGTCGAAGGCCCTGCCGCGCCGGGAGTAGCCGGAATCCTCCCGGGCCGCAACCGCCGCGCAGCGCGCACCTGGGATAGCGGTGATATCCGCCATGTCAAAGCTGAGGTAGGCGTAGCAGGAGTGCTGAAAAAGGACGACGACAGAGAGAATCACCACGGGGACGGGAAGCAGCGCATGGCACGGCAAGGCGTGAGGCCTGCAGGCAGCTGCCGCTGGCAGGGATGCGATGCTGTATTCGCTGTAGTGATGATGCGCACTGAAAGCCGTGGAAGGTCGGGTGAGTCAATTGATTTCGTACAACACGTCGTGCAAATGTTTGTTCCATAGACAACATCGCCGACGGGGAATACATGCCGGGACTTACCAGGTGGGTATATACATGCGTCAGAGCAGTCTGGCAGAAGATGTTCGCGTCGTACAAATAAAGTACATCGATGGTGTGGGCACAACTGAATGAACGGAGGATTCCACAAAACAAAATAGTCCGCGCTGCCCATGGATATCGCAAACACTTGATGCACACTGCATTGTTCTTGCAAAATTGCCCCTCAAAGCTGCATTCTTCGATTCACGGTTTGGACAGCTTGTTGCAGACTTTCCGGTGAGTGCTCAAATTGCCCCTTGGCTCCGCACGTGCGCTGAAACTCTATGAACAACTGATTCACTTGGGTCGATTTCCAGCGGTGCGTCGCGAGGCTTGGCCTACCTTTATGTCAATATCCGGGTGGAACACAGAAGGACCCTTCAGAATATCGGCCAAGGCTGGAACCCCAAACAAATATTGACATGTGCACACGTATGCTCCTCCAGCTTCCAATTGCCTGCTCATCAATTGGTAAGTGGCGGGGGTCTGCAGACTGCTGGCTTTCAAATTGCAGGCGGTGTGCGGCTCCGACTCATGGGCCAGTACCAGACTTCGGTGCTTGCGCAGCTCTCTCTCGTTTTTCACTTGCATAACCTGCATGGAAGACCAAAAGGCAAATTATACTTGCAGCGCTGATCCGATTGATTCACGAGATTGCAATGCAAACATGCATGTTTGCATGTTTGTCATATGAGAAAAAGAATGCAACAAATTGGACTTCTTGATTTTCCCACATTCAGCAACGCGGCTCTTGGAATGCCCGCACGCTGCTAAGTTTTTTGATTTCACGCCCAGTGCAACTTGAACATTACTGCTTACGGCACAGCTAACGAATCTCTTTTGTTCCCTCTCGTCTCTTCTTCTCTGCTTGCGCCACTGACGGCACGCAAGGAGGTTGCCATTTCGATGGGGAATAAGGGCGGCTGGGTTACCTCCATAGCCATGTTCGTTCCGTGCTTCTCTTCTGCGTACAGCGTGGCGGCAATGAAATCCAGATCCATAAGTTGATCTGCGCTGAATGTCGCTGATTGTGGCGGTCATCAGCCTGGTCGAAGTTTGGCTGATTTCCGTCCTCGCTTAGGGTGTATCCCTCCGCAGCGGAGCTCATCAAAAGCATGGCGTACCCGTCGCCGATGAGCTGCTGATTGCTTCCGCGCACCTGCTCAGTTGGAGGTGCATCAATGCTGCAGAGGGACGGGGGACAACACGGAGGATGAATTGATTGCCAGAATCAAAGTTCTCGTTGTGCAATGCAGGATTGGCAACCCCGAAATAAGGCGACCGCGGGGTCTTACGGGTTTGGGGGGAGGGGGCAAGGATGGTATCCGCAAGCTGGACGATTGAATTCCGGTGGACAGAAATCGGCAAAACATTTCAATGCTTTAAGAGAAATGGCCGGTTTTTATGCACATGGCGCACGATCTGGAGGTTCTCACCCTTTTCATTTGCTCACCACCAGATACGCTCAAGAACCCGGGAAAACGAGGCAGATTGATGATAACCAGGTTATTCGGGTTTAGACCGAAGAATTTCCACGAGCGGAGTTCCTTGACCAGAGCAATCTCCTGGTCTTGGTCAATGGAAATGATAACCTTTATTCTATCCAGAGCTGACTCATTGAAGTGCCTATCCAGGGCGACCGCCGTTTGAAGAACTTGCCTTCCAGCGGTTGATAGGCATTCCAAGCGAAAGGTTTCAGGCACCTGAGCATACAGAGCAGTCAAAAACTGCGAAATTGCTCTGATATGACTTGCAATGAGCTTTTGATCCACTAACACAGCCTGTGGAAAGGTGCTCAACAATTTGATCCCGTTAAAGTTGTGCCACTGCAATGAGTAGAGCGCGGATGGGCCGTAATACCCCTCAGTATGCCCGGGCTGGAGGTCAACTTCCTGACAAGCATAAGCACACACAAACCACATAGCTTTTGGTTCAATTCCGACGGTTTTTGTTCTCTCGTTGGAGGGCGTGGTGGTATATACTGGTGTTGCCGTTTTCTCCAATCTGACACCCGACTTCTGGAAGACCTAAATATCGCCAAGTTTCAATCCACTCACAGAACAGCAACATCAATTCCAAGAGATACATCGCTTACTTCAGGTCTATGGATCAAGCACCCAACACGGTCTGTCTCAGAATAGATCAGACTCCCCCAACTCACATGCGACAGGGAAATACCATTTGCCCTCAGCACCAAACAATGGGATGTGTTTCCGGTAGGTCTGGCCACATTTCATTGCAGCGGCGCTCGAGATTTTAGTCATTACCTTGTTGGGCCAGGTGTTCTTCACAACTCTCCACAAGTCGGTTGTGGAAACAGGAATTCCGCTGCCCTCCCCTTCCCCAATCGTCTCCCCATTGTCCACCAACATGAGGGCCACGTTGCCCTCGCTCACGTATTGCCTGGCTGTGAATCGATACACGTCCACGTCAACGGGTCCTGATACCACCACACGAGGGTTGATTGTTTTTGGCGTCACCCAATTTTCACGTTCAACCCATCTGGAGCAGACAAAGGAACGGAAGGCTTCAACTGTCTGATAAGGCGATTTGGCTGGGGATGGTTTGCACAGCCTGGTGCAGTGGTGCGCAGCGTGGAGCGCAGGGCTGCAGCTTTGGCGCTGAGGATGAGCATCGGGCATGTGAAGGTCAGCGCATGTCGAGAAGATCAGACACATCGCAAGGAGGTATTTGACAGATACCGTGCAGATAATATGTGCAAAATCGATGTGGAAAAAGCTGCTTTGCTATCATTCAGGGAGGCGCACCTTAACTGGAGATGCAAGGTCTCGTGTCCCACGGACCGGGAACATGCAGAATGGAGGCAATTGGTATTCTAGCTCTGCATGAGGTGATGTAATTATTCAGAGGATGCTGTGCATTGGATGTCGCTGGTGTGGCGATCGACCCGATGACGTCAACGGGCAGATCACAGTTGGTTTGTGATCTTCACCTTGAATTCGTCCTGTTCTTATACATTCGAAGCAGTGCCTCTGCTCCCTCCTTTTCTTTGTACCACTCTGCTAGCCGGGGGTCGCAAGACGGATCGGAGACCGTTTCCCTCAGCCTGACGAGTTGAAGTGCATCAAGATTTGAGTTAGCATGTGGAAACTGAATGGTCAATGGTCAATGGTCAATCCATTCACACATTTTCCGACAGCTCAGATTTGCAGGGGAAACGAGGGCCGACAACACATCACGGTATTTCATTTCAAATATGAGCCATTGCTGTCAAATTTTTGGTGTATTGTTAGGAAACGCAGTCATAATTGCTGTTTTTTGTTTTGCAGCTTTCTGTTTGGAAAGAAATGAATTCTGTAGATCAACGTTTTGGCTGATACGCACAGATGCAATCACTCATCACGCTTCCAATAATAATGGGATGCGTCACATCCAAATAGACACAATATTGTACTTGCGTTTGCGTAATAAATCACAAGAGGATGCGGCACAACTGACCGCCATTCTGTACCGTCCCTGGAGACACCAAAACCTTGTTGATGAGAGGCTGATACTACCTGAGAATTGCCAGGCCGAAGAACGCTTTTTGGATCAAATGGGTAGAGATTAATTCATGATTTTTATATTAGAACATCCATTCACAAGGTATATCTCATGATTGCCATAATTGGATGCCGGACGCGTAAAACGTGCCTGTCTGATTCCTCTATTGTCGAAGTCAGCATGTCATCATCTTCCGAAGAAGACTCACCCCCCATATCTGAAACCATCTTGTACAGGCCTACGATTTTTTCTTGCTGCTGTCTGAATTCCTCGGCGTTGCTAGACATCGCCATCTGCTCGTAGGCAGAAAATCAAGGCGATGAATTTCTAAATGCGAACAAATGACACCAGTCCAAAACAAGAGTGGGCGGAAGCTGGGACGGGTGGAAAGGGTTCAAACGACACGCAATTTGACGCAACATATTTCCAGGCAAATAAAATACATTGCACGTTACTGTGCACTGCATCCAAAGCACTGCCCCATCCGGAGCATGGCAGTACGTTAAGTTACTTCAGAGCTTTGTGTATTACACTATGTGTAATGCAAATTACAAAGATGGACTTGCTTACATCGAAATAAGCGCTCATATCCCCGACCGCCAAATTTTCCTCCTCTTCGCCCATCAAGTCTTTCAAGAGCTGCAGAGCTAGGTCCCTTGCGTTTTTTGTCTTGGCCTTCCACGTAGGAAGCCTGGCTACGAGCTGTCGGTCTTTTCTGCAATTCCTCGAGAAGGATCTCGACCATATCTTGAGACGATCTGTGATGGTCTGAGGTGGTGCTTCCGGCTGGTCATCCTCCTAGAAAATAAATAACGAATATTTGAAAAAATTCATCGGAAAACAGTGTACGTAATGCTGTGTGGACACCAAGAACAAAAGTCGACCGAAGATGTCCAGTTTAATGCAATTTACAAATTGCAGCATCTCATCTTCAGAAGTGCTTGCATCTGAATTTAGGTGTACCCACTCTGGCCGCAGACATTTATGGTACAAATTCTGTGGCGTCACTGGCACAACAAAATTGGATGCTTCTTAATATTAGCAGTGAATCTATGTAAATATTCAGATGTAATTGAGCAATCACCGTGTGTGCACATGGGAAATTATAACTACGAGAAAGGGCGATTCGTGGACTTTATTCGACATCAAGGGCATTTGAAGGCGCATTTGTTGACTCCAGACAGTGTTTGGAATCTAAAC